TCTTTTAAAATATTTCCCAAATGATATTTAACATAGCAAGGAAATATTCACAGTGTGTCTGATAATATTTTTTCTTCTGGAGAAAGTCTTATTTGTTTTATTTAGGCTAGAATAAAAGCAATTGTCATTTTTAAAACAATTTAAGGTCAATATTATTAGCTCCTTTAAGCTGTATTTTTTATCCGATAGTCTACAGAACAAACCATCATTATACAATAACTTGCCTAATTACCCTAACCTGCCTAGTTAACCTAATTAACCTAGTTAAGCCTTTAAATGTCACTTTAAGCTGTATAGAAGTGTCTTGAAAAATATATAGTCAAATATTATGTTGTCATCATGATAAAGAGAAAATAAATCAGTTATTAGAAATGAGTTATTAAAACTATTATGATTAGAAAAGGGTCGAAGAAATCTGCTCTCCTTTAAACAAAAAATTGGGGGGAAAAACTAAACGGGGGGCTAATAATTCTGACTTCAACTATATATATATATATATATATATATATATATATATATATATATATATATGTATATATATATATGTGTGTGTGTGTGTGTGTGTTAATATTATATATTTTGTAAAAGAAGATTCAACCTTAATATAAAAAAATGCTATAACAATATGGATCATAATGATAATAATATATAATCATAATAATATAAATTAAATGCAGATTTATTTAAGAATTCAAATTCAAATTAATCCTGTAATTGTTATTTATATAAATATATAACAAGAACTCATAAATCACATAAATCTTTTTATTAATATTATTAATAATAATAAAAAAATCACCCCCTAAAAATTGTATTAAATCTATTTTGGGTCATTTAAAAATAATCAAATCAAACATAATGGTGTGAATTTTTCTTGTAAGACCTTCCTGTATAATGTGATGCTGTTTAAACATAACATAAATCGGTGTAAATGCATAATGCTGAGCTCTTGCGCCACCTGCCGGCATATTCACACACACCCCAACACTTAGTGTCGCACCTCATACACTCTTATCTCTTCCACACTTTTCCAGACATGAAATAAACACTTCTGCACACACATGAACAGAAACTGCAGATTGATGACCAATCAGTGTATAGAGGGAGATCAGAATCGGAGGCTCAGACACAGGAGTTCCCACACTCACACAACTCTTCAAGAGTGCTAAATTACACACTCTCTAAAACACACACACACAAACTCACACACACTCTTTCTTGACACTCTGTCATGGGAACGAGTTCAGTCAAATTTCACTGCTGTACGGCTAAGAGAGGTTGAGCTCTCTCTCTCTCACACACACACACACACACACACACACACACACACACACACACACACACACACACGCACACAATGCAATACAGGTCATTATTATTAATGTTAATTCTCCTCTAAATAACTTCAGAACTTCAAACAAATAGACTATAATAAATAGACTAAAGTTTTAAAAAATATACTTGCATTGTTTGTTTAAAAGTTAATATCAATAACATCAATACTATATACAAGAATAAGTAGTTTCACTGAGAATTTGCTTGTAAATTTTTGTTTAACTGACATTAAATGTTGTTTTTATTAAATTATTATTATTATTATTATTAACTTGTATGGAAAGCGCAACGTAGAAAATTAAATGATTTAAAGTGCAATAATAAGCACTAAAAATAACAAAATACAACTTTTATTCAGTCTTTATTTAATCAGCTGTTTAGATTTAGACTTATTTACAACAAAGCCTGAGATTCACCTCACAGTCACCTTTTTTAGATTATATAAAAACAATAATAGTGGAATAATTAGGATTAAACTAAGTCTGATACAGTCTCAACTTGACCAGAATTGTATAGTTTTCCTGAATCCCCTTTATTTTGGCAGTGGTATATTCCAAACTAATGATGTCCAGTCAGCAGAGTTTCCAAGTAAGATCAAATGGGGTAGATGCATCCAGCCATAGTTTCAGGATGATAACGAAACTTTTAATATAAAAAATGGCAAAAGCTTGAAAAAGAGGACAGAAATATATAAAAATGTTTGTATAATTAAGTTTGAAATGAATCCATTAAACCTTTTAAAGTAAATAAGACTATAATAGATAACACCATAAGTAAATCTAGCATACAAGTAGTAAATACACAAATATATTAAACATTTAGTAGTACTTAAATAACCCAGATTGTCATTTTAAAACTTAACGCATCACTTATATCATGAGCTGTACTTATTTCACTTCATTCATTTTAATTCAAGGTATATTTCATGAATAATCGACAGGATAACATGAGCTTGACCTGGTCAGAGATCAGCACAGTGTGAATCTACACACATACCTAATGGACACCATGACAGTGCTAAATAACACCCTCACACACACACGCGCACACGCCGGTTTACTCTATTATAACACCTCAATACACACACACACTGCTTTCCCACGATCATAAAACAAGGGCGATTAACAACACACTCACGATTAACCATCAAATATGTTTTAAACATCGCATTTTTACTAAATGTACGCACTAAATTATTTGTATCACAAATTGTATAACAGTGGTTTGTTCTGGAGACAATCCAAAACTAATAATGCTGAAGGGGGCTAATAATATTGACCTTAAAATGAGTTTAAAACAGAGAGAGAGAGAGAGAGAGAGAGAAGTCTGTGTGTCTGAGAATGAAGCTGTAAAAACTGTCCATCATTCACACGTCTGTATGGGTCATGACCAGAGCTGGGTGGAGTATTTATGAACTCAAATCACTTACCGATAAGAAATTACTTGGCAAAACATGTCAATAATATAATCTTTCAGAATGCACACTTATTGTGATATAATCTGAATTCTTCTGGATTACATTTAGATTACTTTTGTGCTTAAGTTTATTTGTTGATGCGTGGTATGGTAATATGGGATAGACTAACTGTAATGTAATCTTCCTAATTTTGGATTACATTTAGATTACTTTTGTGCTAAAGTTTATTTGTTGACACATGTGGTATGGTAATATGGGATAGACTTTAATTGTAATGTAATCTCACTACTTTTGGATTACATTTAGATTACTTTTGTGCTTAAGTTTATTTGTTGACACATGGTATGGTAATATAGGATAGACTAACTGTAATGTAATCTTCCTAATTTTGGATTACATTTAGATTACTTTTGTGCTAAAGTTTATTTGTTGACACATGTGGTATGGTAATATGGGATAGACTAACTGTAATGTAATCTCACTACTTTTGGATTACATTTAGATTACTTTTGTGCTAATTTGATAAAAGATATGCATAGTAAAAGAAGGTAGACATTGATGACAATGTAATCTGATTACATTTGGATTACATTAAGGTAGGGCTGCACGATTAATCAAAAAAATCATACGACCCTACACGCGATCTTAATTCAGCTTTTCTACGATTCAGCCAATTAAATTTTCAAGGTCAGGAGAGACGAGTAAAGGCGGTCACAAGTCTACACAGGAACATGATAACCTTCAAATGGCGTTAAAAGTACTTTATTTATAATGTTTAATTCACCCAGAAATGTCATTTCTGTCTTCATGTAATGATGTATTCCCGGCAGCGAAAACACACGTGAGCTGACCGCAAGCTTTTTGTTTACTGCCGAGAACGTGCACCAATGACGGCTACTTTAGTGAACAGAACCTGCATAGGCTGTGAATAACAGGTAATGAAGATGTAAATAACGTTCAGTTTGTTTCACAGAGCAATCGTTTGAGAGTCGCGCTGAAAGAATGATTTGCATGTGTGTGTGATCATCACAGTGACGGCAGCCATGAGCCACTATCGGAAGTGAAAACGAAACTGGCCACACATCATTTAAATGAGCATAACTGTTAAAAATCACAAAATGCGTTTATAAACTAGATATTTAAACTATTATTTAAGCAAACTGCTCAGATTGACAAAGATATTATGTATTAAATCTCAGCTTTTAGTCCTGCTTTATATTAGGTGGCCCTATTATGTACACTAAAATTAATAATGCGTAATTTTTATAAACATGATTTGCACAATATTATAAAATCAAACTTCTTAAATAGACAGACATTTAAAGAAACTATGTTAAAATTTAACTAATATAATTACACTAAAGTTATTTACAATGTGATTATCGTGTAAATACATGTTCTTACATTGTACTTATGGTTGATTAAATACCTCCCTGTATTTACATCTGTAATTACATTTATGAGTACAGTGCGCAGCATATGTAAGTACACCCCTCACAAGTCTACCTTTTAAATTCATATTTTTAATAGGAGGCTATAGGAATTTAAAACAACATTATATTTGTGCATATACATTAGATTAGTCAGTACAGAAGCCAAATCTGAAGCTAATCTAACAAAATAACTTTTGATAACGCTCCAAAAACTAGTACAGCCAAATTTACATGTTATAGAAAATTATTAAATGCAAATTTTAAAAAAAGAGGAAAAATAAAGAGAAGCAAAAAAATAAAATAAAAATGTAGTTGAAATTTTGTAGGCTGTAATGTTTTTTTTTGCAATGTTTTGCTTGAAATTACTTGTATTATCTTTCCACTTCTAAATATGTTTGGTGACTAAAATATTATTTAAATAAATATATCTGTTTAATAAATCTGTTTTGTTTAAATGCACCAAAATACACCGACTATATTCGCTGAGAAATAGATAAAAATATTCATTATCAAAATGGGCTGTATTCAATTATGCTGAGCACTGTACACTCTTGACCATCCCTTCCTTACCTCTTAACCCCTTATCCGTATCCCACCTCAAGAGCACCAGAAGTGTTTTGCAATACATTATGAATATATTAAGTACATTGTGATTATATTTTGATATATTAAAATGCTGAATAAATCTCTGTTAAGCTTGTGAAATATAAAAAAATAATGATAATTTAGTCGTCAGTTGTACTTGTGTGCCTTATTTTGACATCACTGTGATACAAAAATGACCAAAAACAACATCTCAAATATGAATACGTTTATTTCAAGTCAATAAGTTACACTTAGTATAAAGAATAATTTATGATAAATACCTAAATTTAAAGTACATTTACATTCAGCGTCCAGTCTTATGTACATATCCACAACTTATTTACACGTGTGAGCGACGTAAAGTGAGATCAGTCTATAAATAATGCTTTGGCGGAGAAGCTGTTCATCTGAGCTCTTTCTCGTCCTCTTCATCACTGTAATCCTCCTCGTCCTCAGTGTCTGGATCCTCATACAGGCAGATTGTGGCCTGGACTGGGTAGTTTCTCAGAAGAACCTCCGCGTCCTCGTACAGATAATCGAAACACTGGGATTTGGGCCAAAACAACCTGCAGATATCAAGTTTAATGGTGAGTTTCAATGCATTGGATTATTACAAATCTACACTGTATGAAAATGCTGGGTTGTTTCAATCCAACACTGGTACAGATATTGATTAACCAAAGAGCTGGATTAATCCAAACCCAGTTAATTAATTAAAAATAGCAATTTATGTACTTTAATGAAGTTTGATACTGACTTTAAATGCTTTACATTATTACAAATCTACATTGTAAACAAATGCTGGGTTGTTTTAACCCAACACTTAGACAAATTGGATAAAAAAACTGTTAATTAATTTAAAAAAATAATTAATGTAATTAAAAACGTGTGACAGTGACTTTAAATGCTTTAAATTATAACAAATCTACACTGTATGAAAATGCTGGGTTGTTTTAACCCAACACTGGTACAGATATTGATTAACCCAACAGTTGGATTAAAACCAAACCCAGTTAAATAATTAAAAACAACAATTTATGTTGTTTAATGAAGTTTGATGGTGAGTTTGAATGCTTTACATTATTGCAAATCTACATTGTTAACAAATGCTGGGTTGTTTTAACCCAACACTGGCACACAATTATGACAAACCCAACAGTTAATTAAAGCAGTTAATTCATTAAAAACAGCAGGTAATGTAATTAAAACGTTTAACAGTGAGTTTTAATGCTTTACATTATAACAGATCTACACTGAATGAAAATGCTTTGTTGTTTTAACCCAATGCTGGGTCAGATATGGACAAACCCAATAGTTAGAGCAAAACAAAAACAGTTAATCAGTTAAAAACAAAAATTAATGTACTTTAAAAGTTTGTCGGTGAGGTAAATGCTTTAAATTAGCTGCAAATCTACACTATATAAAAATGTTTAGTTGTTTTAACTCAAAACTGGGACAAATTTTGACAAACCCAACAGTTGGATTAAAAAAACCTGTTAATTAGTTAAAAACAACAATTAAATGTGATTTTAAAAAGTTTTAAACTAAGCTTAAATGCTTTAAATTATTGCAAATCTGCACTGTGTAAAAATGCTGGGTTGTTTTAACCCAAAACTGGGTCAAATATTGACAAACCCAACAGTTGGGTAAAGAAACCTGTTAATCTTTTTAAAAAACAACAAATAATGTAATTTAAAAAGTCTGACAGCGAGTTTTAATGCTTTAGATTATACAAATCTATACATTGTTAAAAAAAAATGCTGGGTTGTTTTAACCCAAAACTGGGTTAAATATCGACAAATCCAACAGTTGCGTTAAAACAAAGAAGTTAATTAATTAAAAACAACAGTTAACATAATTTTTAAAAAGCACCCCAACATTGGGGTTGTGTTGGGTTGAAAATTCCAGTATATTTTGTATAGTATATTTGTATATGAGTGTGTATTATTCAGCATTCTGATCTCAAATGAAGTGTTTGACATACTTGACTGGGTGTTTGAAGATGGAGAGCTTGTGCTGTTCATCATCGGCTGGTCTTTTATAAGGCTGTTGAAGTAAAGAAAGACATTTTAGATCAGATCCTTTGCTCACAGCTTAAACTCTTAACATGTTAGATTGTTTTAATATAATAAATATGGACAACCCCAATGTCATTTTTTTAACTGGGTTTGTATATATTTCAACCAATGTAGAGTTGAGACCCAGCATTTTTAGTATAAGATATTACGTTGGAAAAATTAATATACCTTATAATCTGGAGCTTTGCGACTGGTTTGGCTGAGCCAGGGTCTCCAGGGTTGATTCGCGTCCATTTCAGAGTTTAACCCGCTCGTGAAAGTGATGTTCTCCATAGTGTCCGTGGAAAGAGAGTAAGTCCGTGCGCTGCTGTTTGTTTCCGATCAGAATGATGCTCGTGCTGAAGTCTGGAAGCTTTAATACCCGGAAAGCGCTCGTGACAAACGGTGACTTCGCGCCTCGGGTCTGACACGCGCGATTGTGGAGGTGTGAGGTCACACTCCCGCCAAAACACATGGCGCGCTCACACCATCAACAACAAATCACAACTGTTGGAGAAATCGCCGAAAACCAATGAGAACTTATTATTTTAATTAAAGGTTTAATTTGAATAAAATCTTCTTTTAATTTGTTGCACATTCATCCCTTCTGTTTATGCAGAAAACAAAAACTGATTTTTATTTTGAAGTTACTTTTTATACAGGCCAGAAATATAATTTTAATGACTTGGAAAACACATGTCCTTATGTTGTAATGCTCCTTTGGCCTGTGTTAAAGTAATTTCAGATATTTCTATGCTAGAAAGCTATTAGATTAGATTAGTCACATTACTTAAATAATCATTGTTTACAATCAGAGTGAGCATTATTAGAGAGAGAGAGAGAGAGAGAGAGAGAGTGTGTGTGTGTGTGTGAGTGGTTTTCAGGAGCTCAGGGTACATGCTATATGCTATTTCTATACACAAGAAAACTGATTTTGGAGGAGTGGAAAATAAAGATGGTTTAATGTGCATTGTTGACTTTTCTAATTGTGTAAATATTAAGTACAAATAAATCTAAAATAATTTACAGTTAAGTGGCTTTATTACAAAAACCATACACAGTAATGGTCCAGGATGTTTATGCCCTGAAGAAACCGGTAGCAACTGATGTGCTAACTATTTAAGATATTAGAAAAAAATTAATAGCATTAGCTATTATTACAATCCAAAATGGCTACTTATAATTAAAATAATTACACTTATAATAGATAATAATAATTATAATATAATTATAGTAGTCCGTTTTTCCATAAAGGACAAAGTCAGACATCGATATTCATTTATTTACAGTGAGAAATATGGTTTAATATAGCCTATAGCTATATTATAGCTGCGTTATACAGTTATACGGTTTACTACGTACGTTTATAATAATAATAATAATAATAATAATAATGTGTGTTAACTGTAATGTTGAAATATTCTAATATCAATTATTGTCATAATAAATACACTGTTATGCCAAATAAATTCTGCTAGCTGAATTAAACATTTTCCAAATAAGTCCAATTAGAATGGCTTAGTGTGAAGAGGATCATATGGCCTTTTTAAATGTGAGTAGCAGAGGTGCAAAGCGAAATCCAAACCATTTGCTCTGAAACACTAACATGACGCGTGCCGATCTGTGGCGTGCGGGCTCCCGCTGAGAGACGTGCGCGCTCGGGAGTTCATGAACTTTTTCCTCAATTCAAGAGGCTGAAAGTGCGACAAAGTCATGAAAATAAACCACAGACACGTCGAAAGGAGAAACAGAAGACGCGTGCAGCTCTTACTGGACATCTGCCATGTTTACCGCAGATAGGAGAAGCGTGTTTTACTACGGTATACGGTATACTACTGCGTATAGGCTGCTGAGGTAAAAGACGCGGGTTATTTATAACCGACAGAACAGCGTAGATTGATTGATTGGGTTTTGTTTCTTCTGGTTTGAACAAGTTATATGATTAATTTTCGTGTCCCCCCTTCCTAGTTTCCCTCAAACCAAAACAAACGAACGAATAAACAAACAAATAATTAAAAAGTTTCTAAATTAAAATTTAATTTCAAAATTTGATTGAACTAGACATAACATAAATATTTAGATAGATTGATTGATCGATAGATTGATCAGTCAGTAGATAGATGGATGGATGGATGGATAGGTAGATGATGGATAGATAGATTAGTAGATTGATTGATTGATTGATTGATCAGTAGTTGGATGGATGGATAGATAGATTAGTTGATTGGTCGATTGATTGATCAGTAGATAGATATATTAGTAGATTGATTGATCAGTAGATAGATAGATAGATAGATAGATTGATAGATAGATTGATGGATAGATTGATGGATAGATTGATGGATTTTTCATGCCTCCACTAGAGGACACTCTTACACAAAATTTTGGAAATGTAAAATAATAAATACATTTAAAATGTATTATTTTTCAGTGCAAGTATCTAAAATTATTGTTGTTTTGTGTACAGTTAGCTGTACATTTTTTTAACCTAACCCTAATCCACAGCTTAATCCGGACAGATGATAACATATACTTTTATTTACTATATTGAGCATGGCCAAAAAAGAGTATTCATTGGAGTTGCTTTTAAAAGACTACTTTCCTGTTTAGTTCGTTATTTTATTAACCTTTTTTTAAAATAATCGAATGAAGATAATGGCAAATGTAGAGTATTATATTAATAAAGCTTTTCCATAAAAAGACACGTCAGCACAGAACATCGCTGTGTGTATTAGTGTAATAAATGATGAATCACATTAAGATCAAGCGCATGCAAACATGTTTCATCTGTGCTTTGTTTATTATATTCTCTGTTCATAATTCCTGCATTGTACAGTGTTTACAATCACATATGTGTGTGTGTGTGTGTGTGTGTGTGTGTATATATGTGTGTGTGTGTGTGTATATAAATCATAATGTAGCATCTTTAACACCCAAATGTAATTTTTAGGATACAAATATCAAAATATAAAGATATCAAAATCTATAATATAATATTTTTTTTTCAGTAGAAAATAAAAACTGGCGTCTATTTACTTATTTATTTACTCATTTTACTGTTTTCAAAATGATTCAACTTATTTGATAAAACAATTATGTTAACAATTAAAATCATGGTGAGAAACTACATTACCCATGCAAAAATCCCACCAATCAGAGAGTTACAGTGAAGAAAGCTCATCAATATTGCAGAAAAAGAAAGTCAGTCTTGGTCTCCTTTTTATTAGTTTTATTGTTTCCTTGTTTATTAAAAAGATTTCTTCTCAAGAACGTCAAACGTAGACAGATCAATTATTCAAAATCAAATCACACACAATTATTATAATCTAAATAAAAAAAAGCTTATCATCTGCTTACATGTTCATTTATCCAAAGTGAATTACAAGTACAAGTGAGGATAAAAGAAGCATTAAAAATCATCAGAGTTTATTTTTAATCTATAATTGGTTATTTATTTACATGTTTATTTATTTGCATGCTGTTTGTGCAGAAGTGTCTCAGAAGGCTGTCTGTGGTGAACCCTGTCGCTGTTCATTTGTGCTTCATCTAAAACTCCACATCTATAATCCTCTTAGTCTATGCTGAAATCATCTTCAGCAGCTCAAACACTCTAATGGCTAATGGACAGACGGCTGCTTCTCACTCAGAGCTGCTGTTTATGCTAATGAGGGAGAGATGGGCACTAGTGGGCGGGGCTTTCCCCCTCTGATGACACGTACATGACGTGATGACTGTTTTGCTCAAGTTTGATTATAACAAATACAATTAATTAATGTTTACGATTAGAGGCTGGAGATATTCACACACTGCTGACACACAACTGTGTTTAAACCGCTTATAAAAGTGATGTTTGTATAATATGTGGCCTTTAAAAGTGTTTAACATTCAAAAATTCTCTTTCTCTCTCTCTTGATCGGAGATAGTGGGGGCGTTTATTATCTGCTGAAGTGCGCGCTGTAAGCTCAGAAACACTCACCGAGCAGCAGTGAAGTCAGTGATGTTCAGTCTTAATGTTCAGTCTCTGTTTAATGGCCTGTTTTCCGTGATTTCCGCACTCGTCATGAAGCTTCTGTGAAATATCTGCTGAAACATGAGTGAATATTCAAACCGCAGCCAAGCCGGAGCTGATTACGAGTGGCATTATGAATATTACGAGGACGAGGAGCCCGTGTCTTTTGAGGGACTGAGAGCAAACCGCTGTGAGTATCACTGATCAGATGGAGAGGTGGATGAATGGAGAAATAGATGGAGATGTAGATAAATAGACAGACAAGACAGACAGAGAGATTGATTTATGGATGGATGGTTAGATGAATATAGATGGGTATATAGATAATGATAGATGCATAGAGTTGTATAGAGTTATGGATAGATGTGTATCGGTGGATATATTGATTGGTTTATGGCTGGATAGATGGATGGAGGAATGAATAGATAGATAGATGGATACATTTATTGATGGGTGGATTAATTTATATAGATGGGTGGATAGATAGATGTATATAAATACATAGATCTATAGATTGATATTGATGGAGGGAAGGAGAGAGATGGATGAGTAGATAGATTTATTATTTGATAAATTGATGGATGGATTTACAGATAGACAGACGGATGGATGGATGGATGAATAGATGAATGGATGGAAGGATAGATAGATAGATGGATGGATAGATAGATAGATAGATAGATAGATAGATAGATAGATAGATAGATGGATGGATGGATGGATGGATGGATGGACGGACGGATAGATAGATAGATGGAAAGAGATAGATGGATGGATGGATGGAAGGATAGATAGATAGATAGATAGATAGACGGACGGACGGACGGACGGACGGACGGACGGACGGACGGACGGACGGACGGACGGACGGACGGACGGACGGACGGACGGACGGACGGACGGACAGACAGACAGACAGACAGACAGACAGACAGACGGACGGACGGACGGACGGACGGACGGACGGACGGACGGACGGACGGACGGATGGATGGATGGATGGATGGACGGACGGATGGATAGATAGATATATAGATAGATAAATGGTTAGATAGATTAGTAGATTGATGGATTGATTAATTAATAGATAGATAGATAGATAGATAGATAGATAGATAGATAGATAGATAGATAGATAGATAGATAGATAGATAGATAGATAGATAGATAGATAGATAGATAGATAGATAGATAGATAGATAGATAGATAGATAGATGGATGGAAGGATAGATAGATAGATAGATTTATGGATGGATTGAGGGAAGGAGAGATAGATAAATTTATAGGTTGATTTATGGATGGAGAGATAGATATATAGATGAATAGATGTTTGTGTTTGTCATGTAAATGCTGTTGTTGTTTTTCAGACTCTATCGTGATTGGCTTCTGGGTCGGCCTCGCCGTCTTCGTCATCTTCATGTTCTTTGTGTTAACTCTGCTGACCAAAACAGGAGCTCCACATCCAGAGTGAGTAACACACACGCACATATATGCACGCACATACACTCAGACACACACACACACACTCATACTGTACACACACTCGCGCTGCTTCTGCTCTGTTGTTGTGGATTAGGGTTCACGTGCGTCTCCATAGAAACGTGGTTTTGATGATTTTATGCCTGATTACAGTGAGTGTGTAATTTCATATTCAGATGAAACACTCGAGCTGCTGCATGAATGACAGTCAACAAGCCTGGATTTACCCAGTCATTAACCTGCTGCTCATCTAATGCACAAATCAACACGTAAAACTGCATAAAGACAGCGTTTTACCTCATCTTCACTTTATAAAAAAAGGAAAAATGCAGATATAAATTAATTAGTATGCCAAATATGACCTTTATTACAAACATAGATTTTAATGTGATTTTTAAAGTTATTAAAATCAGTAATAAAACACCAGCTTAAAAGTTGTACTGTATAAAATGTACTTTAAAAATACCTGCAAAATAAATTAAAAAATAATTAAATTTGTAACATAAAATTTCTTATCAATTAATATTATTAATTAATTATTTTAAAAGCTTGCAAACATTAGAAATTAAATGTTAGAAAATATTCACAATAAATTAAAACATTTGAATAAACATAAAAATTATTCATTCATTCATTTTCCTTCAGCTTAGTCTCTTTATTAATCCAGGGTCACCACAGCGAAATGAACCGCCAATTTATCCAGCACGTTTTTATGCAGCGGATGCCTTTCCAGCTGCAACCCATCTCTGGGAAACATCCACACACACACACTCATACACTACGAACAATTTAGCCAACCCAATTCTCCTGTACCGCATGTGTTTGGACTGTGGGGAAACCGGAGCTCCCGGAGGAAACCCACGCGAACGCAGGGAGAACATGCAAACTCCACACAGAAACGCCAACTAAGCCGAGGCTCGAACCAGCGACCCAGCGACCTTCCTACTGTGGGGCAACAGCACTACCAACTGCGGCACTGCATCGCCCATAACATGAAATTAAAATGATGTAAAATAGATTTTTTTTCATGTTGTATTTTTAAATATTAAATAAATAATTGATTAATTACATTGTTTTATTTAATAATGCTTACAAATATTTAGAATTATAATAATTTATTTCTAATATAATAGTTACAATTATTTTTTTAATGCTTTATTTGAACATTTAGAGTACAAAAGATGAAGGAAAGGAGTGCACGCTTCATTTACAACAACAGCAGAGTGTTTACAATAGTATAAATACACAAAAACAATGAAATATCAGTAAAGGTTATTGTGGATCTAAAGATAAACAGATGAAAATAAAGAAATAGAGAGGGAAGAGGGCGATATAAAAAGATAATGATAACAGCAATCTAGAGATTTAATAGATCACACAAATGAAAAGTTGTGCAAATTCTGTACGTTTTACATGCCTTCTTGTTTAGTCAATCTGGAATTGTGAGTCATGTTTAATCTCTTGTATAAATGATTAAAACATTACACTTATGAATACAGAACCTACATAAACAGTAGTTTTCAATCTGTGTGTGTTTTTTGTTTCTCAGGATGTGTGATGCCAGCATGAAGCCTCATGTTCTGATTGGCTGTGAGCTGGAAGTGGGCGGGTCTCTGGCATTTTCTCTGCCACCGCTGCCTGACCAATCACGTTCCCTCTTTCACTTCTACATCCATAAGGAGGAGCGAGTAAAAACCCACAAAGACGCTGTGATTGGCCGAGGGATGCACTGTGGGCGGGGCAATGCTGAGAGAGCAGATGAAGATGAGCACTTCATGTCCAGCTTCAACATTCCGAATTTTGTGAACTCCGAGCAGAGCTCCAGCCTCGGCCATGACGACTTTCTGCTGAGTGAGCCGCCAATCATCACAGACGGCCAATCAGATGAGCTGAAGACAGCAGAGCCCGCCCATCTCTGCTATGATATCATCAGACATTGACGCATGTTTCTTGACGTGTGCTGCATCCCAATTCACGTACCACACTCTAGAAGTGTGCACTTTTTTGGTGAAGAAAAAGTACATACTTTTGAGTGTGTAAAAGAAGAGTGTGAGCTTTGGGACAAGCTACTTTCTCATTAACGGATCATTAAAATGCTTAGTCAATCATCTCAACACATCAATCCACATTCTGTCATGTTTATTTACCTTCCTTATGGGAGACGCAGCAGCAGCAGGTTAACCTCCCATTCACGAGTCTCTCACGCAGAGAAATCTCCTCAGGTGTTTGCATAATTCTGCATTCAGAAGTTAATCTCCAAACACGTCTTTATAGAAGAACACGTTGTTGCCGATGAAAAATGTTGCAGAATTCATCATTTAAATACACTCACCGGCCACTTTATTAGGTACACCTGTCCAACTGCTTGTAAACGCAGATTTCTAATCACATGGTAGCAACACAATGCATTTAGGCATGTAGACATGGTAAAGAGGATCTGCTGCAGTTCATACCGAGCATCAGAATGAGGAAGAAAGAGGATTTAAGTGACTTTGAATGTGGCATGTTTGCCAGACGGGCTGCTCTGAGTATTTCGGAAACTGCTGATCTACTGGGATTTCTCACCCACAAACATCTCTAGGGTTTACAGAGAATGCTCCGACAAACAGGAAATATCCAGTGAGCGGCAGTTCTGTGTGTGCAAATGCCTTGTTGATGCCAAGGTCAGAGGAGAATGGCCAGACTGGTTCCAGCTGATAGAAAGGCAACAGTAACTCAAATAAGCACTCGCTACAACCGAGCTCTGCAGAAGAGCATCTCTGAACACACAACACGTCCAACCTTGAGGCGGATGGGCTACAGCAGCAGAAGAGCACACCGGGTGCCGCTCCTGTCAGCTAAGAACAGGAAACTGAGGCTACAATTCACACAGACTCACCAAAACTGGACAATAGAAGATTGGAGAAACGTTGCCTGCTCTGATGAGTCTCCATTTCTGCTCACACATTCGGGTGGTCGGGTCAGAATTTGGCCTCAACAACATGAAAGCATGGATCCAACCTGCCTTGTATCAGCGGTTCAGGCTGGTGGTGTAATGGTGTGGGGGAGATTTTCTTGGCACACTTTGGGTCTATTAGTACCATTATACCATGGTGTCAACGCCACAGCCTACCTGAGTATTGCTGCTGACCATGTCCATCCCTTTATGAGCACAGTGTCTCCATCTTCTGATGGCTACTTCCAGCAGGATAACGCAGCATGTCATAAAGCTCAATCATCTCAGACTGGTTTCTTGATCATGACAATGACTTCACTGTACTCAAATGGCCTCCACAGTCACCAGAGCTCAATCCAATAGAGCAGCTTTGGGATGTGGTGGAACGGGAGATTGGCATCATGGATGTGCAGCCGACAAATCTGCAGCAACTGTGTGATGCTATCATGTCAATATGGAGCAAAATCTCTGAGGAATATTTCCAGTTGCTTGTTAAATCTACTCCATGAAGGATTAAGGCTGTTCTGACGGCAAAAGGGTTCCAACCCGGTAAGGTGTATCTATTAAAGTGGCCGGTGAGTGTATGTTCCAGTTGGCTAGATATTAATTAACAGCCATTCAAACAACCTTACAGAAGCCTCTCTGGTTGACAGTTGGTCTCATGCATCCGCCATATTTGTAGTTTGTTTACCCATTTCCCCCAAGTTTGTAGTCCAGTATAATATTAAAGTATATTAATATTTTAACTAGTATTTAGTCTAATTATTTAGGTATTTATCATAAAACTTTGCTTGTAAAAATCATTTATTAAAAGTATTTGATTAAGAAGTTAATATTTCGGCAATATTTGTGTGATAAAATGTAATTTATTAATTGCTTATTGTGTAAATAAATAATTAATTTATTTGTTAAACTATTTGATTTATTTAACACTGTAATGTTTCTTTATTTAATATTGTATGGGTTATTATTACTCGCAGGTGTTAGCATGTTAAAGTCATTTATTGAATAGTTATATTTTATATTTAATTAAGTAACAGACATAATAAAAAGTAAAATATTTGTTTATATTTTAGTATTTTATTATTTATATTATATAATATTAATATATTAATTGTCTCACAAAGATATTGGTGTGAAAAAATTAGAATATCAAAATAAAGTAAAATAAAATGAAAATAGTTATTACTAGTGGTATTTTAATACTATAATATCTTATTTTTATTGTTTATTATTTACAGATTTTACCAAGAAAAAATGCAGTAATTATAAATAATAAATGAATTGAAAATTTTCATATAAACACATTTAATGTTTAAAATAAGTCAATTTAATATTCTTTATGCTGCATCATCCTGTCAGCAGCACACACTGTCTGTTGTTGGCAGAAGCTGTTCTTCAGCAGCAGTAAACAGTGTGACTAACGCCTCTAATAACTGAGAAAAACACACAGATCAGCTTTATTAGTGTGTTCTGCGTCTCTCACTGCTCTGAGATCAGCCAGAAACACATATAATGAACACCTGAACACTCATGAGATGCCTCAGAAAGCTTTGACAGTTTTCTCCTCAGTTTTATCAGAGGCAGAAAGCCCAGGAGATGAAACTGATGGATTTCTGTGACCTTATCTCTTCGTGACGGTCGAGTCAGAGTCAGAAAATAAAAGAAAATGAGTCAGGAAATCTTCATGTTGCATTTTAAGAATGAGACTCTCAGGATGAAACAATGGAGAGATGTGAGAGAAGCACTCATGTGGATTTTACACTGCGTGTTTCTATGGAAACAGAGTGATAAAGCATGTAAACCCACACACACACACACACACACACACACACACACACTTGTAGAGCTCTCTTTATGGTCTCACCTCAGACATGATGTTTCTACTGTACAGGCTGTATATTCTCTCTCCTCTGCCCCTAAACTCATCCCTCACAGGAAACTGCAGCTTTACATTTTTACAATACTTCATTCTGTCTGATTTATTTATGAATTATTTTTCTGCATGGGGACTACACAAATGTCCACACAAGATCAAAATTTACTGGTATTGCCTTACTTGTGGGGACGTTTGTTCTTCATAATATTGGGAATACAAGACACACACACACACAGACACACACACATATACTGCGAATGTTTATTGAGTCTGAAACTGACAGATTTTTCATAACTGGTCATTTTATAGATCTTAAACTCTAATATTTGCTTTGATTATTATATATAGATGTAAAATCATGTTATAAATGAGTATTTTACTCTGCCTCCTATGTTTATATGTTTATGTTCTGTTATTTCACTTTAAAGACAATGAAATCAACCTGTTCATCTCCATAAACTGAAAATACTGCGCCTACATTAAAGTAGCTTGAGAAAAATGTTCATTTAGAGAATTTCAGATGGCTCATAGAGGCTTCTGCATCTGAAATTTGCATGCAGACAATTTTTTAGTATAAAAAATGAACATGCTAGCACCAATAAACCAGAGCTCTCAGCTAATATTTTGATATTTCTGACTTACTGACCGACTTCTATACAAACAGTAGGTGTGTATAATAATGTAATGTGTTGTTTCTCCAGCAGGAGGCGCTTCAGAGACACTGCTGATCCTCCCACAGCAAAAACAGGATGGTAAACTAAAGTAAATACTCTGTTTTGAATCATATTTAAGTGTAATATACTGTATTTATCATAGAATTTACAATTCCTATAGCATTAACTCTGGTGAACTGATAAAGTAATACACTTTAGTTTTTACTACAGTAAACTGTGGTGGGTTGTAATATACTCTGTGGTTGTAGAAAACTTCAGTATTGGGTCCTTTTTTATTACTATAGTTGTTGTGTTACCATAGCAACCGTAGAATTGCTACTGGAGATCAATAACTATTGTTGTTATGTTACCGTAGCAACTGTAAAATCATCCTAGCATATCAATTACTATTGTTGTGTTGCCATAGGAACTGTAGAATCACCACAGCACTATTGTTGTGTTGCTACAGCAACTGTAGAATCACACTAGCAGATCATTTACTGCTGTTGTGTTGCCATAGCAACTGTAGAATAACCACAGCAGATTAATTTCTATTGTTGTGTTGCTCTAGCAACTGTAGAATCACGACAGCAGATCAGATACTATTGTTGTTGTGTTTCCATAGCAACTGTAGAATCACCACAGCAGATCAATTACTATTGTTTTTGTGTTACCATAGCAACTGTAGAATCTCCACAACAGAAATTACTATGGTTGTTGTGTTGCTATAGTAACTGTAGAATCACCTCTGCAGAACAATTACTATTGCTGTTGTGTAACCATAGCAACTGTAGAATCACCGCAGTAGATTAAGTAAATTGCTATATGGTTTAAGAACATTGCAGAGTTTATAATAAACAACTGCGGTGTGTTTTCATATGGGTTGAAGTAAAACACACTCGCTGATAGTTGGAGAAGTAGAGAAACTCAGTGAGCAAAAATAAAACACACTGTACAACATACACTGTAGAAGCTGAAAAGATTGTGTGTGCGTGTGTGTGCGTGTGTGTGCGTGTGTGTATGCGTGTATGTGTGTGTGTGTGTGTGTGTGTGTGTGTGTGTGTGTGTGTGTGTGTGTGTGTGTGTGTGTGTGCGCGTGTGTGCGTGTGTGCGTGTGTGTGTGTGTGTGTGTGTGTGTGTGTGTTTCTGCTGTGCCACATGCAGGATTTCAGCCCTCTCTGGCATCTGGATTATATTTGAGTGTGTGGTTTCAGTGAGTCATGCGGAAACACTGCGCTTTCACCTCTCTCACACTCGCTGTATGAGACACCAACTCAACATCATCTCTACTGTTAGCTAGACGACACACAGCACAGTGACGTTACAGTGAATGTGAAGATGCTCCAGTTCCTGTCGTTAGATGTGATCAGGTCTCATTACACCACTGGAGCATTGGAGATTCTGCTCAAATTACCTGTCAAGTCATAAGTTGTGAAAAATGGAAAATATATTTTGACAAACATTCTTCTTTCTTTCTTTCGTTCTGTTCTGTCTTTTATCTATCCATCCATCCGTCATTCTTTCTATCTCTATTCATCCATTTGTCCGTCCGTCCAACTATCAACCATCCATCCATCCATTGATCTGTCTGTCTGTCTGTTTGTCTGTCTGTCTGTCTGTCTGTTTATCTGTCTATTTGTGTCGATCTATCCATATCACCGTCATTCTATCTATCCATCCGTCATTCCATCCATCCATTCGTTGTTCTATCTGTTTGTTTGTCTGTCTGTCTGTCTATTAATCTTTATCTATCTATCTGTGTGTCTGTTGATCCATCTGTCCATCCATCCATCTATACGTCCATCTGTCTGTCTTGTTTGAATATGTTTATTGGCAATATACATAACGTCAAGAAAGCAAACGTGCAATAAATATCAGAACATTCCATTTTAGCAATTAGCAAGAAGCTATTTATTAATGTGTTCAGCTACAATAAAGAAATGCATTTCAGAAGAAAGAATATAAGAATAAGAAAGAAATCCACCTTCCTGCATGGTTTTATATATATATATATATATATATATATATATATATATATATATATTAAACCTTAACAGAGCCTGCAATATGCAAGACAAGACTAATATTATTATTATTATTAACAAAATTATAGAACAAAATGTATTATATTTAAACTTAAAACTGTTATGATACGATTCTTTTTTTATCATGTATAATATTTTACCACATATATAACCTAATAATTCTAAAATAATTATAGATATATGATTAATCTTTATGAAATATTCCTAACTCCTGTATAGCACTTTTACAGCATGCTTTCTTATGTAGACTTAAGAAAAGGGTTCTGTTTGGAACCAAAACAAATGGATCTGCCGCTGTTACAAACTATTAAGACCTCTAATTTGGTGCTTTAGAAGTATTTTAGTGCATGCTGCTGATCAAAAAAACAAAGTTAAATAATATCCAGTACACATTAAAAAAATGACGTTCAATCCACTTACATTTGTAAAAATAAACAATAAGCTAACTAAATTCCTTTATGTGGTCCCAACTCAAATCGATTGTGTGAAACCCAGCATTTAAAAAACTAATGCATAATGGGATTTACTACATTTTTTAAGATAAGTGGTGTGCAAACAATTTATAAAAGCTTAATTTAAACAAACAAATTAAGTTGAACATTGCTAAATTTAATTTGTTTAAGTTCAGCCCATATAAAAAATGTGCAACCACTTACCTTAAAAAATAAATAAATTAATAAATCCAATGAATAGTTTTGTTTCAGTGCGCTTTCTAATATTTTCCTCAAGATGATTCAGCAAACAGCCATGGGAGAGTGTGTGTATAGTGACCCACAAACCTACAGCTCCAGTGAACATTAACCTCTCTGTCAGCCTATAAAACCATCAAGCCCAAACACGCTCGCAGACCAGTTTGAACAGAAAGCCTGCAAGATATTTTATGCGAGAGTTTGTTGTTGAAGCTCCTAATTAAAACACTTAAACCGTGTGTTGACGCCAAAGTCTAACTGTGGGTGGAGAGCCCTAATGCATTAATAATTCAGTGTTGTCAGACCGCAGCGTTGCACAACAGCCGTCATACCTGTGCGTTCTCTCGATCCACCTGTTCAGCAGCACATATATGGACACCCACAGGTAAACCTCCCACATCTCATCAAGTTAATAATAATAGTGATGCATTTGCACGTGTGTTTTCTCATTGTGTTTGTGACGCTCTTCAGGATCAGCTGATCTCGGAACAGCAGCGAGTGCAACTGATCATGGTAGGCAAACATTTTCCTACTGTTTGCACGCTTAACTGATCACAATTAGTTTTTTTTGGAGTGTGAATTCAGGTGAACAGGTCTGTGCTTGAGCTTTAAGGGGTGTGACGAGCATGTAAAGCAGGTAAATAATTAGTGCAGACGTTTGCGCTTTTATTTTCTCTTTCTTTGCGCGCGAACTGCAGCATCAGGGCCATCTGATAGCCTTCATCTCTTGCTCTGTGAGTCTGTGAGTCTTCGTGTTTTGCTCATTTGGGATTGTCTGCCACATATATTGTAAATACTGTATATAGTTGCTAAATTGTGTTTTTGAGCCATAATAGAGTGTTTTATACTGTATTTATGGTTGTATTTACTGTAACTCTTATAGCAAATACTGTGTCCATATTAACCATAGCAAGCTGATGAACTGTAATAGTGTACTTTAGTTTTTACTATAGTAAACTGCATTGCATTGTAGTTTAATACCCTATAGTTGTTGAAAACTACAGTAGTGAGTCATTTGTTTATATTTCTCTAGTGAATTACCACAACAGATTACTTTACTAGGGTTTAGAAGTACTGTAGTGTTTGGTGTAAGTTGCTATAGTAGTTTTTCATGTGAGAAAGGGGTTGGTGAAAGGATTTCAGTGATAATATAATGCAATACCAACTTTATTGTCAGTTTTATATCTGAAATTTTTCGTGCATAACATCGTGTTATAAAGAGGAGAGACATAATATACGCACATGAACAAAAATCATTTGACATCAGACCTTATTCAGCTCTAAGACAGAGTCTGAGTGATGTACAAGTGGATGATTTAATTTCACTTTGTTAAATCTTGGGACTTTAAATAGACACTTTGCTGATAAATATATATATGATTTAACACATGGCTATGGTTTGAAATGATATTTCCAGCCTTGTGAGGTTCTTGTGATACGAAAGGTTAACTCATTTTCAAGAGGCTGTCCTACTATATTTTATAATATCCTAAAATATTGTTATTACTCTAAAAATGTGCTGTTTCAGCTCAAAACTGAGTAAAATATGAGTAAAACACTATTGTTAGTCATTTATAGTTGCTAAATTGTGTTTTTGAGGCATATTAGAGTCTGTTACACCTTATTTATTGTTGTATTTACTGTAACTCTTATAGTATGACCATGTTAACTAAACTGATGAACTGTAATAAATACTTTAGTATACTTTAGTTTTTACTATAGTAAACTGCATTGTATTGTAGTATAATACCCTATAGTTGTTGAAAACTACAGTAGTGAGTCATTTGTTTCCATTTGAGAATCACCACAACAGATTACTAGGGTTTAGAAGTACTGTAGTGTTTGATGTAAATTGCTATAGTTGTTTTTCATGTGAGAAAATGATTGGTGAAAGGATTTCAGTGATATAATGCAATACCAACTGTATTGTCAGTCTTATATCTGAAATTGTTCTTGCATAACAGCATGTTGCAAACTCCTTTAAAAGAGGCGAGATGTAATATGCATAAACAAAATTCGACATCAGACCATTTTCAGCTCTAAGACGTTCACTAATGTACAAATGAATGATTTAATTTCATTTTTCTGTTAAATCTTGTGACTTTAAATCGACTGTTAGACTTTGATGGTGTAAATTCATGATATAACACATGGTTAGAGTTTGAAATGATATTCCTATAGCCAGCCTTGTGATGTTCTTGTGATACGAAAGGTCATCAAATTTTTTAGAGGCTGTCCAACTATATTTTATATTATCCTGAAATACTGTTGTTACTCTAAAAATGGGCTGTTTCAGCTCAAAACTGAGTAAAATATAAGTACAAAGAGGCGAGACGTAATATACATAAACAAAATTTAACATCAAACCTTATTCAGCTCAGAGTCAGCCTGATGTACAAATGTTTTAACTTCACGTTGTTAAAGCGTGGTACTTTAAATCGATGGTTAGTCTTTAATAGGGTAGATTCATGATTTAACACATTGGGTTTGAATCGATATTCCTTGCCAGCCTCGGGAGGTTCTTGTGATAAAAGGTCGTCTAATTAGTCTCCTCCAAAAATCACCTAAAATATTGTTATCACTTTTAAAATGTGTTGTTTCAGCTGTAATTTGTGTGAAATATGTTTGAACAGTTGTTGGTGTAACCCTAGTGAAACAGAGTTAAATAATTATTTATGTTACTGATTTGAACAGTATAATCTAACTATTTACATAGTCTTAAGTACATAGTCTACAAGTAAAATAATAAACACAATAAATTGGTGTAACTAAATTTAGTTTCGATTATACTGTTCAAGTCCATATTATAAATAATTATTATAACTCTGGGGTTACATTGGACTGAAAATTGAACACAACTTTTTGGTAAAAGTTTTACACAATCTTGGGTTGAAGAGCATTGTTAGAGCGTACGCTCAGTAACAACATTTCTAATGAAGCCACGCATGCTGTTCATGCTTGTCATACCTTTTCACTTGCAGTTCTTTAGAAAACCCCAAATTCTTGCTTTAAAAGCATTTTTATGATTGTATAGTAGCTGTAAATCTCACAGTATGTTTCATTTGAAGTCTTATCTCTTTTCCAGAGCAAATATCAAAACATCCTGAAAGTCATGTTTACTTAAGCAAAACGACTTCGGTTTTATTTCTGTTTTATTTCATTTTCTCCAGAAAACAAGACTTCAAACATTTTTACACTGAATGACAACAACATTCCATCCATAACGTTTTATTATTCACAAACTAATAACAATTATCTGAAGTATTACGTGCATTTAATGTGCTTTATATGCACATAAGATCCCTTTTGTACTTTAACAAATACCTTAATGATAACTTAATTCTCCACAGCATATTATCAGACAATTTTGAATCATTTCCAAGCAATTCTGCATTTGTATTTAAGAATTTTATGCATTTCTCTCCCCTGCTCGAGTGAACTTGGCACAGATGTGTGCATTAAAGGAAGATGTGAACTCTGCTGACAAAATATATTGCACAAAGAAATGATCGGGACTCAGAATGAATACCAAGATGACTCATTCTTGATTGCTTTACTTCATAATTTCTTAGTTTTTTTGCAATCTCCTGTTCTTTAGAGACCTCATTTTAAAGTTAAATTGATATATGTTGTTATATAGTTATTTATTTCAGGTCGTATGCTGTTGTTAACAATAAAAGAATGATGTTACGCATTTGCAGGCCGCAAATAACATTTATACAAATAAAAGATTAGACATTATTCTATTCTATATTATTATACATTAGATATAATGTATAATAGTGACATTTTAACATGTACTAAGTGTCGTGATCTCTAAGTGTGTGTGGAGGTATATTTGATAAATTCCAAATGTCCCCAGAAGTATAGCAATACCAGTAAACCTCATGATGACTTCATGTGCGTGTTTGTGTGTGTGAGTCTGAAAGCAGGCCTGAAGTGCTTTCTCAGTGTGTTATTGTGTTTGCGTGCGTGTCTGGAAGCCCGTCTGAAGGGTTGTGTATGTGTATGTATGTGTGTGTGTGTGTATTTGAGAGAGAGTTTTTCTTCGCGCGAATGTGTGTGTGAGAGAGAGAGCCTGAAAACGTCTAAAGAGTTTTCTCAGTGTGCGCGCGCGTGTGTGTGTGAAGTGTTTTCTCTGTCCTCTTGTTCATTGTGTGTGTTTGTGTTCATCTGATCCTCTGAAACTGATCCTCAGCTCTGCCTCTTCAACTGCAAACGCTCCGTCAGTGCGCGTCCCCGCGGCGCGCTCACAGTCTCCGTTCTCCTCGGTCGCGCGTTTATCAATCACTCTGACGCTCTTCTCTTGATCACTTTTATCGATCTGGGGTTTTACCGAGCCGCAGGTCTGGATCATCTCACGACTCTCGCTTTCGGGACTAAAGACGCGCTGCTGTCGGTGATCCGCTCGCCGAGCCGGACTGTGAGTTTATTATAATCTAATTTAATTTAAAATTAGCTGTTTTCCGTATTTTGTGATTTATATTTTTATTCCCCCCGTTTATTCATGCTTTTGAATTGCATTATGGGAGCTTGATCTTTCTTCCAACAACTTTAAACCTTAAAAAAGTTGAAAGAAAGTAGATTGTATTGTAATTGTTATAGTTTGCAGTGCAGTGCTGTATTGTCTGGGTTGGTGTATTACAATACAAAAACCCTATAATAAACTGCCAGCACATTTTCTGTTATTTATTTCTCTATATATTATAGGCTATTTATTATATGTCAAACTACTAAAATGTCAATAAAGGTCTGTTAAACTGTAGAGTTGAATTTTCAACATCACAAGTCGACATTACCATGCCATAATGCAATTGACTACTGAAAATTACCCCAAAACACTTTATTTTTACAGTGCAGGTCAAATTTATTTAATGTTTGATTATGAAGAGAAGTTCTCCTTAACATTTCATTCATTATTCCTATTTGTTATTGTGAGCCTGGATGAGTCATAAGGGTCATTAAAAATAAAATAAATAAATGCATTCATGTGAAAGCTGAATAAATGCACTCTGCATCGATGTATGGTTTGTTAGGATACAACAGCATTTGTACATTAGAAATACTCAAACTATTGAGCAATTAATAACCTTGTAAGTTGTGCAAATTTATCTCCAAGCAACGCATATTACTAATCTAGATTTAATAATACTAATTATTAAATAGGTATGGTAATTCACTAAATATATTCATTAAACATAATGTTTACTTAATATTCTAATGATTTTTTTTGCATAAATGAAAAAAAGATCATTTTGACTGGATATGTTTAGAAATGAGAGGACAATACCAAAATATGTTGGGTTGTGTTAATCCAGCCTGATCTCAAGAGAAAACGTAAATATTTTGCGTTTTGCCAGTTCAGTGGCTAATTCGTACGAATTCATACGAGTTCAGTCGTACGAAATTGTGCGATTTTTAAAAAGGAGGCGTGGCACCTAACCCCACCCCTAAACCCGTCATTGGGGGATGAGAAAATCGTACTAAATTGTACGAATTAGATCGTACGAAATCATACAAATTAGCCACTAAATTAAAAAGTTATGAATTGCCGTGAGATTGTGTTGGTTAATCCAATGTTGAGTCAAATATGGACAAACCCATTGTTTGGTTGTTATTTTAAATTATATTCAATTCTTTTTTTTAAACTATTAGGTTTGTCCACAGATCCACCATTATTATTTAGAGTCTAATTTTGTAAAAGAATTTTACAAGTAAATTTCATCTTTCAGACTTTTTTGACTGTAGTGGAGAGACAGAAAGAGACAGAGAGAATAAAAAACCTGGCACACTGAATCTCAGTTTATTAGATAAACAAATGAACAGTAATGCGGTTAAACGCCAGACTCTACATGGTTTAATCTAAATAGCTGTAAATATGGGTCTCATTCAATAAGTGTAATGAAATCTTTAATGACCAGTGATGATCAGTTTTAATAGTGTTGTCATAATAACAGAAACTATTGCCATGGTGTGTTATTGTGCTTCTGTGCTATTAAAACCTCCCTCAGTGGACTAAAGTAAATCAGACTGATTGTTAATTGGTAAATAAATGGCAGAAAGTTTTATTCCAGTGCTGTAGCTTTAGGAATGCACATTGAGAAATCTTGTGTTTATAATCTGCATCTAATTTAGTTTTATGTACAGTGGGCTTTTGTACAAGACAGTTTTGTAACTGAATACAGTTTTTCATCACCACATGATTTGCGTTAAGCGTATGCAAAAGAGCCTCCTTTAGAATGCGTTCTATTTGATATTTTGCTTTGATGACATCAGCAGTCACATGATCTGCTCATTTGCATACATTGTAGATGTTGAGTCAAGCATGTAAACAGAAAGATTATATAGTGACAGCTTTATGACTCGCGCCGCCTCTAAATGTTTCTAATTTATGTCTAAAAATATTGCCTGTCATATTTAGACCAGGAGTAATTTGATGACAAATTAAGAGTCTTTATAAGGATTATAGTTTGGCCCTAAAATACTCTTTATTTGGCATTATTCTGAACACAACGTGTTACACATTTGTCACCAATACACGTCATAAATACATAATTATAAGCATGATTAAAAGATATTAAATGTTTTTAGAAAGTGCTCCTCAATTTTGATGCAGTTTCATTTTTACATAATTTTAAAACAATTTTTACATTATTTCACCCATTTTTTGACGTTTCAGTTATTTGAATGGTAAAAATATGTAAACTATGTAAAAAATCTTGCCGCATGTTGGTAGGACAAGGTGTAACTGTAATCTGATTACAAGTATTTTAAAAAGTAGGTTACTCTAATTCAGATATGCCCAAAGTAGGGCCCACGGACAGTATCTGTTCATCTTTGTTAATGTATAAACAAACCAGGAACAGCACATTTATCACAGTGTTTAGCACTAGAAGACTAAAATCCACTATGAATTTACATTGATTGCAATATATATTCGTCTTTGTTAATGTTAATGTATTTATTAAGATGAACAAACCAGGAACAGTGAATTTATTACAGTATTTAGCACTAGAAGACACTATTTAAAGGAGACTATGAATCCAGTGTGATTTTACATTATTACAGTGTCTTTTCTTCTTTGTTAATGTATTCACTAGTATAAACAAACCAGGAACAGTACATCTATTACAGTATTTAGCACTCACAAGACACTATTTTAGGGAGACTATGAATCTACTATGAATTTACATTTATTACAGTTGGCGGTTCATTCCACTGTGGCGATCTCTGAAATAGAGACCAAGCTAATGGAAAATGAATGAATTTACTACAATATCATCTTTGTTAATGTATTTATTTAAATTAACAAACAGGGAACCATATACAGTATTTATTACAGCATCTGTTCATCTTTGTAAATGCATTTACTAGTATAAACAAACAAAGAACATTTACTAGCAAAAAAACCCAGGAACAGTACATCTATTACAGTGTTTAGCACTAGTAGACTAAAATCCACCATGAATTTACATTGATTGATATATATTCATCTTTGGTAATGTTATTGTATTTATTAAGATGAACAAACCAGGAACAGTGAATTTATTACAGTATTTAGCCCTCACTTAACACTATTTGAAGGAGACTATAAATCCAGTATGATTTTACATTATTACAGTTGGCGGTTCATTCCACTGTGGCGATCTCTGAAATAGAGACCAAGCTAAAGGAAAATGAATGATTTTATTACAATATCTATTCATCTTTGTTGATGTATTTATTTTAATAACAAACAAGGAGCCATATACAGTATTTATGACAGCATCTGTTCATCTTTGTTAATGTATAAACAAACCAGGAACAGCACATTTATCAGTGTTTAGCACTAGAAGACTAAAATCCACTATGAATTTACATTGATTGCAATATTTATTCATCTTTGTTAATGTTAGTTAATGTATTTATTAAGATGAACAAACCAGAAACAGTGAATTTATTACAGTATTCAGCACTCACAAGACACTATTTAAAGTAGACTATAAATCCACTATGATTTTACATTATTAAAGTATTGTTGTAAAAAAATAAATGAGTGAAAAAGAGAGAGAACCCAGTCCAGGAGACTCGAAACAAGCAGAATTCCTTTATTGAGACGTGTTGGTTAATCTGCAGTCATACAACGCCTTATAGACGTCCATGTGTCCGCAGAGCCCAGTATCTATTCATTTTTGTTCATGTATTTACAAGTATAAACAAACCAGGAACTGCACATTTATTACAGTATTTAGCACTAGAAGACACCATTTAAAGGAGACTATGAATCCAGTGTGATTTTACATTCATTACAGTGTTTATTCATCTTTGTTAATGTTAGTAAATGTATTTTCTAGCATTTTCTAACAAGCAACCATATATAGGAGTATTTATTACTGTATCCATCTTTGTTAAGGTATTTACTAGTATAAACAAACTAGGAACAGCACATTTATTACAGTATTTAGCACTCACTAGACACTATTTGAAGGAGACTATAAATCCACTATGATTTTACATTTGTTACAGTTGGCGGTTCATTCCGCTGTGGCGGCCTCCGAAATAGAGACTAAGCCAAAATGAATGAATTTAATACAGTGTTTATTATCTTTTTTTAATGTTAATGTGTTTATTAAAATGAACAAACAAGGAACCATACATTTATTACAGTATCTGTTCATCTTTGTTGATGTATTTACTAGCATTAACACACCAGGAACAGGACATTGATTGCAATATTTATTCATCTTTGTTAATGTCAGTAAATGTTTTCATTAGCATAAAACAAGGAACCATATACAGTATTTTTAACAGTATCTGTTCATCTTTGTTAATGTATTTACTAGTGTAAACAAACCTGGAACAGTGTATTTATTACAGTATTTAGCACTAGAAGACACTATTTTAAGGAGGCTATGAATCCTCTATGATTTTGTATGTGTGTGTGTGTGGGGTGAACAATTGTGTGTTGCAGTCTTCTTTGCAGTGGTAAATCCTGCCTGATTACACTGTTTTTAACTGTTTACAGGCCGAGAGTCCTCCAGAGCGCAGCCCGGGGGTGTTGAGCCGCATCGGGAGCTGGCTGTCATGGGGTTGGGGCAGTCCGGCAGCCACTGCAGAAGAGCCCGAAACACAACACCAGGAGGAGGACCTGAGTGAAACCACCCATCAGACAGCTCAGACTGCTGAACCTGCAGACCGAAGCCCTTCCCCAAACCGGAATGACAAGCATCTGAGATCCGCACGTGGCTCTGTGCAGCACATACAGACAAGTCAAAACACAGAACTGGGGCGCGCTGCGAAAAAAAAGAGACGCAGCAAATCATTCGAGAGCCACAAGACCAGCACATCACCCCGAGATCAAATGGGACGGAGGAGGTCAGGAAGGAGGAGGCGGAGCTCTCATGGAGAAAGAGGCGGGACTGAGAATAAATCCACCAATAGGAAAGATTCAGCAACCGGTTTGACAGGTAGCGCGCAGACGGTATGGGCTGACTCGGTTTTTGGGGAGGAGGAAAAATCAGTTCAGGACTCACCTGGAGCAGGTAACTGTGAGGATGTGGTCCGAGCCGAATGGGTGGAAGCACACTTGAGTGATTCTGATTCACACACACTCTCTTTGGGTTTTTCTGGAGGCCCGGATATGGATGAGGAGGGGGTGGTGCGTCTGACGGAGAGCCCAGAGTCCAAACGCAGGAGCATCAAAGTGTCCCACAGCCAGAAGGTCTTTCCTAAAAGAGTGTTTCTGGAGCCAGAGACACCACAACATGAGGATGTGTTTAATAAAGAAACAGCCAGCGGAGGCTCCAGATGGGCCAGACTTGACGATAGAGCCAGGTAAATCTACCTGTTTAACCTGTTTGCTGCTTACAGAAATAACACGGGGGATAGTTTAGGCTGGACTGTAAACACTTTAGCCTTCATTATACTGTCTAAACACTCATGTTGGTTAATGTGTAGCATAAACAAACAACACACTTATTACAGTGTTTATTCCTCGCTGTTAATGTTAGTTCATATAAACAAGTAACAATATATTTATTACAGTATTTATTTATTGTTAATGTTTGTTAATGCATTTATTAGCATGAACAAAGAAGGAACAAGTCATTTATTACAGTATTTATTTATTGTTAATGTTTGTTAATGCATTTATTAGCATGAACAAAGAAGGAACAAGTCATTTATTACAGTATTTAATCATCTTTTTAAATGTTAATGTGTTTATTATAGCATGAACAAACAAGAAATACACACTTATCACAGTATAGAAATAAAGTTATTGATTGGTAATATATGTTAATGCACAGTCCATTAACTAATGTTTACAAGTATTAATTTTGATGTATGATTATTAAATACTATACAAATACTGCTCATTATTAGTTCTTGTTAGTGAATGCATTAACTAATGCTAACTGATGAGTCCTTATTGTAATATGTGGCTGATATTTGTTTATTCAGCCATTACTTGTCATTACTTTTAATTACTCATTACTCGTTTTAGCTAATTCCACTTTTATTAGTGAGCAAATCTAAAATAAATTCTATTTATTATCTAGTTTTTACCATGTTCTTGTGAATTTAATAGTTGGGAACTTCTTTAAGATGTGAAATTACACACAAACCACCCTATAAACATTTACTTTCAGATTTAAAAAGTGATCATGGTTAGACTCTGGAGTGGTTTGTCGATACATGTTTATCAACAAATTTCAGGTCTAAAGTCTCTGAAATAAAGCACCGATATATTATACCTATATTTTTAATTTATATATGTGAGTTCATGGCACTATTTTTGATACCTATAAGCGAGTAAGTGAGAGAAATAATAAGCTATTAGCTTGTTTTTACATTTTCTTGTGAACTTAAAAACTGAGAATGCTAAATTATACAGAACCCCCACCAAAAAACAATCAAACAAGAGACGCCAACGTGTTTAAACAATCAATTAATTTCACTTTCAGATTAAAAAAAAGGGAGCATTGTTTGATGCAGCAGTGGTTTAATATTGTATATGAGTACATCTAAACATTATCAACAACATTTATAGTGTCTAAAATATTATACACAGATATATTTAGATTGATATACTTGACTGTTAGATAAATATTTTATACACCTACTGTATAAAGGACTTCATGTATATAAACTGTTAAATGAGCCCAAAACTAAACCTCTGACTTTAATTAAAATGCTTAAATCTCTTCTTTTATGTATTTTGAGTTATTCATTACTTTTAATATAGTTTTTTGTATCTATTCTGTGTCAACACAATCGCTATAAGCATTATGAGTGTTAATACTGTTTAAACTGAATGTGAGAAAACCATGGCAAAAACAGCATGCGTCATGTTATGAACTATGGTCATTATCAGGTACTTGTCATTCCTCTGGGCTGTAAGCTCATGCATAAAAAAACCTGTTGGTTAATGATCATGACTGTTCAAAGAGCTCTCTGCATTGAAAAGAGGAATCTTCATAACAATTAAGTGGCTGCATTGTTAAATGCCAGTTTTTCTAGATGTCTGCATCTCTGCTCTATTCACCAGCAGTGCATCTAAAGATGAAAACAGTCGCCCTCATAGCAAACAAAAGGGGATAGTATATTTTTAAGACATTCTTTTAAGTGAAAGTGATCAGACAAGAGTCATACCAACAATCCACAGGACTCCTGCATTATTTTATAAGTCTTGTTAAGGTTTGGGTGAGCAACAGATGAAGTCTCTGCTATTTAATCTAAGATAATCTCAGTTATCTTCTGACTGTCTTGCTCTGTCGCAGCTTTGGTATCCAGAGAAAACTTGCGCAAGATTCTAGTTTCATGCTACATTTCTGTACAGGTTTTTTTACAATTATGGAGATATATGTAGACAGAGTTAGGGTTCATTGATTAGACTAACCCTAATACAAATATTAAATTTAATTCATACTATAGTGAAATATATCTTATTTATGCATTATAATATTTTCAGCACTTTGTGAATGAATGTTCCAGTATCCTGTAGTATTAAATATAGTGAGCTGATAAACTGTAATAAATGCTGTAGTATGCTCTAGCTTTTACTACAGTAAACTATGATGCATTGTAGTATAATACGCCCCAGAGTTGTGGAAAGATACAGTATTGGGTCATTTGTTTATATTCCTTTGGTTGTGGTGTTACCATAGCAACAGATAGAATCACCACAACAGATCAATGACTATAGTTGTGTTTCAATAGCAACTGTGGAATCACATCAACAGATCAATTACTATAGTTGTTGTTTTGCCATAGCATTTGTGGAATCACCATAACAGATTTATTACTGTAGTTGTTACCATAGCAACTGTAGAATCGCCACAACAGATTGTTTTATTTACTATAGTTGTTGTGTTTCTATAGCAACTGTAGAATCACCTCAACAGGTTAATTTATTTGCTGTAGTTGTTGTTTTACCATAGTAACTGTAGAACCACCACAACAGAAGAATTACTATAGTTGTGGGGTTACCATAGCAACTGCAGAATCACCACAACAAAATAATTACTATAGTTGTGGGGTTACCATAGCAACTGCAGAATCACCACAACAAAATAATTACTATAGTTGTGGTGTTACCATAGCAACTGTAGAATCCCCACAACAGATTAATTAATATTGTTGATGTGTTACCATAGCAACTGTAGAATCACCACAACAGATTAATTACTATAGTTGATGTGTTACCATAGCAACTGTAAAATCACAACAACAGATCAATTACTATAGTTGTTTTGTTACCATAGCAACTGTAGAGTCTCCATAACAGATTAATTACTATAGTTGTTGTCACCGTAGCAACTGTAGAATCACCACAACAGATTAATTACTATAGTTGTGTTTCCATTGCAACTGTAGAATCACCACAAGAGATTAATTTTTACTATAGTTGTTGTGTTTCCATAGTAACTGTAAAATCACCACAACAGAATAATTGCTGTAGTTGTTGTTACCATAGCAACTGTAGAATCACAACAGAATAATTACTATAGTTGTTGTGTTATCGTAGCAACTGTAGAATCACCACAACAGAATAATTACTATAGTTATACTTCTACTTGTCCTGCAATGCATGTGTTATTCATCTGGCTGATTTAACAAGATGTTAACAAGGAAAGAAAGACCCAATGAGTCAAAAGCTAATGAAGGGAGGTAACTTAATACAGAAGCATTTGACATTTTTTGCATGCTTTTGACCTTTGTTGTTTGTTATTTTGCAGAGTGGAGGGTCCCAGTGTGAAATCCAGCCTTCCGAAAGGCAAAGTCGCAGATAGGATAAATCTGTTTGAGCGAGGAGCGACCAATGCAGTTAGTAGCTCCACAAACCTGCGCCGTCTGGATATTTCTCCAGCTCGAAAAATGCCCAGTCATCTCAAAGACTTTACAGTACAAGCTGGAGCACGGTCCAGTTCTGCACCTCCTAAACAATCGGTTAAAGAGAGAGCCAGGAATTTCAACACAGGAGGGACAGATGAGAAGATTCCACTGCCATCTGGTCATACAGTGAATGAAGGAGCTTTAAAAAAGGCTGCTCGTTTTGACAAATCAACCACTGGAGGTCCTAAGTTTAAATCTAAACCTCATTTAAATATTGATCAAAGAGACTCCAAATCCCATGATGCAACACAAACCAAACCTGCACAGCCAGAGAGCAAAACAGACTCCAGCATAGGGAATAAAGATGCGGATAATGAAAGTTGTTCTCAGGAGACTGTTTTAATGTCTACTGATGAGGTGAAATTGACAACTCGGACAGGGACGCGGTCTAAAAAACGAAGGAATAAAGACACGGGTCAACCACAAAGCCCCATTAGCCAAAACAAACAAGACACTGGTGAACAGAATAACAAGAACAACCCTGAGTCTGATACGGCATCAAAACCTCTTTTAAACATGAAACATCTCACTAAGAGCACTTCTGCAAAAGAGGAGGAGGAGATCGCAAGCAAAAGACCTAAAGTTCCAGTGAAGTTGGAGAAAGCGGCGGAAATAATGCAAAGCACAAAGAAAACATTTGATTTAAAGTCTCCACATGTGGACACAAGGGATCTCAAAGAAATGAAAAGCACAGATTTGAAGGAGCAAACAGATGCCAGTGGCTTTGAAACACAGGTAGGGACCACTGCTTCTGATGGACATCCTCCTACATCCAGGTCCCGAAATGAAAGGACAGAAGTGACGGACACTGAGCCAAAAACTGAAAAGCAACAAAATAATGGCAACAAAAAGCAGCCTGTTGAAGAGAGCTCAGAAGAAGGAGGACTGAGGAACAGAGACATGATTGTAAACACATTGTTTGGGGAATCAGGGAAATCAGATCCATCTGGGACAAAAGAGAAGAAACCATCATCCCCAGAGGACCTGAAAGAGGCCAGCGCTAAAGACTCCTTTGAGCCTGCCAAATGCAGAGTTGCAGCCTCCAGGAATGATGCCATGCGGAACAGAGAGAGTGAGACTGATATGTTGGACTTACCTGAGAAAGACACCATTACGTGTTTGCCGAAAGAGAAAAACACTTCTGAAAATCTCCCAAAATCAGACAAGTCACAAACACCATCGAAAGCAAAAGATGCTTTGATTGAGCCAAGCAATGAAAAACAGCAAAAAGACAATGCGACAGAAACAACTGCGACTCACAAACGCTGTAATGAGGTCAACACGTCAAAGCCAACCGAGCAGAAAGCAGACGGTGGGATTAAATCAAAGACAACCAAACAAGGTAAATCAAAGGACTCCTCAGCTGCGAGGCCCAACGACGCCAGGCAGGAAGACACAACAATCGTGGAAATTCAGAATACAGAAACAAACTCTTCTAATGTTGTGTTGGGTCAGATTGAAAAAGAAAAAGACACTTCTACATGTAGAGCACTGGCAAAACCCACAGACTTATCAAAAACCACTTATCAAAACCAATTGGACAGCATCATTTCAGCTCAGATTACAGCTACAGAAGGAGAAGGTGTGGTAGAGAGCCAATGCGGAAGCAAGGATGCGCAGAAGACATCCAGTAAAAGAGATCTACAAAAGCAAAAAGAAAAGCCTAACACTGAATCTGAAGAGGGAACAGCAGACAAAACTAAGAACAAACCCGCTTGTACAGAAAAGACATTCATAGTGAATGGAGATATGCACTCAGTAGAGACGGAAGATCAGTTGTCTGCCAGTCCAGAACAGTCTGAAGGAAAATTACCTTACTCTAGCAATGAAAATACTGTAATGCCACCCAATGATGGGTCATCAACAGCTAATGGAGCATCCACCAAGCAAGTTACTGAAAAGTGTACCTCTAATTCAGCCTGGTCATCACTGAATGACAATACATCCCTTCCATCAGATTCAGCTAATATAAAGACTTCTCCTCTTGGAACAACATCATCTATTGACAAAACCACACGTCAGAAATCTACACCTAATGACGAGAACAGATCGCCACAAGCCTCAACCAATGAGACCATCTCCACTTCATCTACTTTGACTAATGAAAAGACTATCCCTTCATCAGCTGACATAAACAAGCCTTCACAAGCCTCAGCTAATGAAGAGAACAAAATTCCATTAGAAACCACTAACAAAAACACATCTAATGAAAAGACCACATCTTTACCCGCCTCAGCTAATGAGACTTCCTCCACTTACCCTGCCCCGAGTAATGAAAAAACTCAATCAACATCAGCAACTGAGAGTGGTGTCAAGAGCAAACTAAATTCAGCTAATGACACAACTACACCATCACAAGCTTCAACTAATGAACAGGCCACGCCTCCACCAGCCTCAACTAAAGAAAATACTACACCTCCACCAACTATAACTATTAACAAGACTACACCTCTACCAGCCTTAACTAATGAAACCAGCACAGCCTCACAAGTCTCAACTAAAGAAAAGACCACACCTCCACCAGTCCCAACTAATGAAAAGACCACACCTCCACCAGTCCCAACTAATGAAAAGACCACACCTCCACCAGTCTCAACTAATGAAAAGACCACACCTCCACCAGTCCCAACTAATGAAAAGACCACACCTCCACCAGTCTCAACTAATGAAAAGACCACACCTCCACCAGTCTCAACTAATGAAAAGACAGCACCTCCACCAGCTTCAACTAATGAAAAGAACACACCTCCATCAGTCTCTGCTAATGAAAAGACCACACCTCCACCAGTCTCAACTAATGAAAAGACCACATCTCCATCAGTCTCAAATAATGAAAAAACCACACCTCCACCAGCTTCAACTAATGAAAGGACCACATCTCCACCAATCTTAACTAATGAAAAGACCACACCTCCCTCAGTCTCAATTAATCAAAAGACCACACCTCCACCAGTCTCCACTAATCAAAAGACCACACCTCCACCAGTCTTAACTAATGAAATCACCATACCTCCACCAGCTTCAACTAATGAAAAGACAGCACCTCCACCAGTCTCTACTAATGAAAAGACCACACCTCCATCAGTCTCTACTAATGAAAAGACCACACCTCCAACAGTCTCAACTAATGAAAATACCACACCTCCACCAGTCTTAACTAATGAAAAGACCACACCTCCACCAGCTTCAACTAATAAAAAGACCACACCTTCACAAGTCTCAATTAATGAAAAGGCCACACCTCCACCAGCTTTAACTAATGAAAAGGCCACACCTCCACCAGCTTCAACTAATGAAAATACCACACCTCCACCGGCTTCAACTAATGAAAAGACCACACCTCCACCAGCTTCAACTAATGAAAATACCACACCTCCACCGGCTTCAACTAATGAAAAGACCACACCTCCACCAGCTTCAACTAATGAAAAGACCACACCTTCACAAGTCTCAATTAATGAAAAGGCCACACCTCCATCAGCTTCAACTAATGAAAAGACCACACCTCTTCAAGATTCAACTAATGAAAAGACCACACCTTCACAAGTCTCAGTTAATGAAAAGGCCACACCTCCATCAGCTTCAACTAAAGAAAAGATCATGCCTCCATCAGTCTTAACCAATGAAAAGGCAACGCCTCCACCATCCTCAGCTAATGAAAACACTCCACCTCCGCCAGCCTCCACCAATGAAAAGACTGCATCTATCCTTGCCTCAGTCAGTAAAAAGAGCAAACCTGCACCAACTTCAACCAAAGAAAAGACCATCTCGCCCTCAGCTTCAACCAATGAAAAGACATCACCTTCTCTATCATCAACCACTGAGTCTAAATCCACATTATTAGATGTAATTCATGAAAAGACCACAACTTTATCAGTCTTAACTAATGAAACAACTACTTCTCCATTAGACAAAGCTAGTAGAAATACAACTAAAGTAGAAACTGAAGAGACCAAATCTTCACCTACACCAGTCGATGAAAAACCCACCCCTGCGAAATCCTCAGCTAAAGAAAATGCTGCACCTTCACCAGTAACCAATCCACCATTCTCCAATGATATGACTAATAACAATGAAAAGACCATGCCACTACCAGCATCATCATCAATTCCACTGGTCTCTACTAAAATGGGGAATACAGCTCCTCCTCCTTTGTCTAAAGGAAAAATCCTCTCATTAGCAGATCATGACAATGAGAAGACCCCACTATCAGTACCCTCAGTCACTGAAAAGACCATACCTTTTCAATCCTTAGGCAAAGAGAAGATCTCCCATACATTGGCTTCAGGCAGTGAGAAATCCCAATCTCCTGCTAGTAAATCTACAGATCCAGCCACAAGAAAAAAGGAATTCATCTCCAAACCCTTTATCCTTCCTCAAATTCCCTTTGCACCTGGCAGGTCCTCTGTACACAGAGACTCTCCGTCTAGCTGGCTTGATGTGGATCTTCCTTTAAGGAAGAAACAGTTACTTCCTGAACCAAAACATAAGCTCAGCTCATCCGTGAGTAAGACCAACCTGGATACATCAGGGGAATTTGACTCAGATGACTTTATTGCAAATGTGAAAAGGCTAGCAATGCCATTCAGCCTCCCCCGACGCAAGCACAACAAACATCGCCTGCAAGCCCCTCCATTTGCAATGCCTGCCATCAGAGAAGACCATTTCGAGAAACCCTTTGACCCAGAGGAGTTCCAGCATGGCTTGAAGAGGAGGAGAGGATTTATTTTGGATGTAGCTCCTGACTCAGTAACCAAGAACCCAGACGCAGAGGTCAAGAACGTGGAAATCAAACCTAAGCGTGAGAGCATTCTCACAAGGTCCTTGATCTTCCAAAGAAATAGGAAGGAGTCTGATAAGGAAGAGGAAGAAAAAGATGAGGGATCAAATGAAATCACAACAGAACCTCAGACTAGGTCTCGTTTGGAGAGGTGCTCCATTGTCAGCATGCTACGCAGCCCCAGCAAAGCAAGACGCACTGAGTTTTTAAGCCCTACTGAGAGTACTTCAAATGGACTGCTGTCCCCTAGTGATGCTTCAGGGTCTTTAACACCTATACAATCACAGCTAACACCAACAACAGAAACACCTGAACAAAACGCAGTAGAGCAAGCTCTTGGTTGCAAGGACTACCTCAGTACTCAGCCTGCTTCTCATGATTCTCTAAAACCCAGCAAGGATGTTGGAATTAAAACAACTTCAAGAGATTCATCAGCCATTGCAATAACAGACATTAACACGTTTCCAGCTCCCAGTGGTACCCAGACTACTTCCCAGGTTGCCCTAAAATCTACTAACACTGACAGACTTTTGAAAATGCCTGACTCTAAAACTAGTTTAGCAGACTCAACAGTCACTATTTTAACAGACTCTGATGCTAGTTGTAACCAGTCTGGTCCCCAAGCTGTACAAAAACCCACTAAACGTGATACACCTGCAATGACACCAGGCTCTAAAACAACTTCAGGAGACCCTAACCTCACTGTATTAGCAGATAGAAGTGATTCCTCTCCTCCTAGTGTTAGCCACCCTATTTCCCAAGTTGTATTGGAACCAACTAAGAATGATGGACTTTCGATGGAGTCTAAAAAACCCAATATAAATGATACACCTGTCTTGATACCTGCCCCCAAAACAGTTTCAGGATACACTAAAGATTCTTTGCATTCTAGTTCTCAGTCTGCACTGAAAGCTACTAAGGACCATGGACCTACTCTGACACCTGAGTTGAAAAGAGCAGACCCTCCTGTCACAATGCTATCAGACACTAATTCACCACTTCTTAACAGTATCCAGACTAGTAGTAATGTTGTTTTGCAACCCGATGGTCCAACTCTGAGTATTGACCAGAAAACAACACCAGCAGTCCCCAGTGTGACTACAGCAGAAAACGCTAGTGCTCCACCACCACTTCCATCTTTTGATGACATCAAGTTGCCCAGTTACCTGGATACATTTCTTCCAAAGGAACCAGGAAAAGATCTGCCATCGAATAAGATCAACTCACTGGTCAGCCATTCCTCATTTACTTATATAATCCACTCACATATCATAGTAAATGCATCAGCTCATTGTTTGACTACTCTTGAGTTCTATGTATATATGTGTTTCTGGGTGATTAGGCAGCTAAAGAAAGTGCTTCCATACCCGGTGTAGTGGATCTCAAAAAGTCTGATGTAGCTGACAGAAAAATATCAGAAGTTCCACCTGCACCTCAAGTTCCTCAAATCCCTCAAGCTGCACCACAGAGGGAACTCCCAAATGTATGTTGTTCACCAGTGTGTATTTAGTTTGTAAACCCGAGTAATCTATGTCTTTTTATTTGCAATCACTCAGCATGCCTGTTTGCTAATGTGTATTTGTACATGACAATGTAAGGGATTTAAAGTCCTAGGGTAAAATCTTTGGATCATGTTTTTGATCGTGTTTGGCTGCTTGGGTAAACATTGGCATTACTCCGCATTACTCTGTTAACGAGTCGTTTTATCTTTTAGATTCCAACTTCTCGTGGAATCCATCGACGTCCTGGAAAGGTTTGTTAACATTTCAAACCCATGACCAGAGAATTGGCAGAAATAAAAAATAGCAATCCATGTTCTATTTGCTCAACATGAGCCAAGTTTTTGGCATTTCATTCATGTTTTAAATATGTTGGTAAATGCATCAGATGCAACCTGTTGTACCAGTCTAACATTAGAACAGAGCCTCTGATTTAGACACTCCATAAAGTTCTTGCATCATTAAATCTGTTTATTTGCTCACCAGATCGTGATATTTGAGCACCATCAGTTCAACGGACAGTCCTTTGAGTTTTACAGGGACCAACCTGATGCTACACACATGCCTCTGTCCACTGTCATATCCATCAAAGTGGTTAGAGGATGGTAAGCAGCATCTGTGGAGATCAGATTCTCAATTCATGATGTGTGCATTTCGGTAGATTTGATTGAACTGCATTTTGGCCTGTTGTAGCTGGATATTGTATGAGAAACCAGGATTTGAAGGACGATCCATTCCGCTGGAAGAGGAAGGCATTATTGAACTGCCCAATCAATGGGCAGAAGAAGGGGAAGAAATCTCTGCCCCTGTGGTCATTGGCTCGATTCGACTGGCTGTCAAAGTAAGTGAATGGATTTTAAATATTTAAAGGCTGGGATATACACCAAGCCAATGGTCCCCCATGTTTAATCTGCCATACTAGTTTTAATGGTGTTTTCCAGTCATCACCTCTCCTCATGTTTATATTTGCGGCTTTATGGGCCAACTGAGGTGAACCGATTTTGCATTGAATCTAAGGGTGCTTTCACACTAGCACTATTGGTTCGCACCCGGGTTTGTTTGACATCAGAGTACGGTACTTTTAGCTAGTGTGAACATGTCTTCTAAACTCTGGTGCACACCCACAAACTATACCCAAGTCCGCCTGAAAGAGGTGGTCTGGGGTACGGTTCATGTGAACTCTGGTCCGGTTAACTTCTAGTATAAATGCAAATCGTACCAAATAGTGGAAGTGAACCGCCAACTGTACAACAAACTATCGTTTTCATAACGTTCATTCGTGTGTGTGTGTGTATCATGTACTGTACCTTGCTGACAAGCGTGACTCAGCCAGGGCAAACACAGTGATAATGTCTGCTTGTCTCCTCTAAAAACAGCTTCTGCAGACATTGCGTGATGTTATGAATAATTATAATAATTTTGCGGCAGATGGCCACGAGTCGCTTTCTGTATGTCCAAAACCAAAAGGTTCAGTAACAGTGAAACAACCGCAATGTGCGCAATGCAAATGTCTTTTCATTTTGGCGCTCTGCTTTTGTGTCCGTCACCTAGCAACAGCCATACACAAAACAGCAGCTTGATGACGCAAGCATATCGGGCTTCAGAAGGTAAAAAGACAGTGTGAACACAAACCAACGAGAAGGTGGAAGGGGGGGACATTCGAACTTGGGTACAGTCCAGGGAATTAAAGCATCCTAAGATTTTCAAAATTTTCCAAAAATCACAATTTTCTTTTAAATCTATTCTGAGCTTAGTTTGTAACAGTAGATGGCGCTCTAGCCTAGTTTTTAACAGCAGACAGTGCTCTAGGCTAGTTTTTAACAGCAGACAGTTCTCTAGGCTAGTTTTTAACAGCAGACAGCGCTCTAGGCTAGTTTTTAACAGTAGACAGCTCTCTATGCTAGTTTTTAACAGCAGACAGCGCTCTAGGCTAGTTTTTAACAGTAGACAGCTCTCTAGGCTAGTTTTTAACAGCAGACAGCTCTCTATGCTAGTTTTTAACAGTAGACAGCTCTCTAGGCTAGTTTCTAACAGCAGACAGCTCTCTAGGCTAGTTTTTAACAGCAGACAGTTCTCTAGGCTAGTTTTTAACAGCAGACAGTTCTCTAGGCTAGTTTTTAACATCAGACAGCTCTCTAGGCTAGTTTTTAACAGCAGACAGCGCTCTAGGCTAGTTTTTAACAGCAGACAGTTCTCTAGGCTAGTTTTTAACAGCAGACAGCTCTCTAGGCTAGTTTTTAACAGTAGACAGCTCTCTATGCTAGTTTTTAACAGCAGACAGTTCTCTAGGCTAGTTTTTAACAGCAGACAGCTCTCTAGGCTAGTTTTTAACAGTAGACAGCTCTCTATGCTAGTTTTTAACAGCAGACAGCGCTCTAGGCTAGTTTTTAACAGTAGACAGCTCTCTAGGCTAGTTTTTAACAGCAGACAGCTCTCTATGCTAGTTTTTAACAGTAGACAGCTCTCTAGGCTAGTTTCTAACAGCAGACAGCTCTCTAGGCTAGTTTTTAACAGCAGACAGTTCTCTAGGCTAGTTTTTAACAGCAGACAGTTCTCTAGGCTAGTTTTTAACATCAGACAGCTCTCTAGGCTAGTTTTTAACATCAGACAGTTCTCTAGGCTAGTTTTTAACAGCAGACAGCGCTCTAGGCTAGTTTTTAACAGCAGACAGTTCTCTAGGCTAGTTTTTAACAGCAGACAGCTCTCTAGGCTAGTTTTTAACAGTAGACAGCTCTCTATGCTAGTTTTTAACAGCAGACAGTTCTCTAGGCTAGTTTTTAACAGCAGACAGCTCTCTAGGCTAGTTTTTAACAGTAGACAGCTCTCTATGCTAGTTTTTAACAGCAGACAGCGCTCTAGGCTAGTTTTTAACAGTAGACAGCTCTCTAGGCTAGTTTTTAACAGCAGACAGCTCTCTAGGCTAGTTTTTAACAGTAGACAGCTCTCTATGCTAGTTTTTAACAGTAGACAGCTCTCTATGCTAGTTTTTAATAGTAGACAGCTCTCTAGGCTAGTTTTTAACAGTAGACAGCTCTCTATGCTAGTTTTTAACAGCAGACAGCTCTTTAGGTTAGTTTTTGTTATACACTCAAATGTCCACTAGGAAGAGCGCTTCTACTTCAGCATAAAGGCCTAAGTTGCTGCTGTTATCATACAGCAGCATCTGTTGGTAAATCTGAGCTCAGAAATAATTCAGGAGAGAATAGCGATGCATTTTGGAAATCTCAAATAAATGTAGATTGATTAATTTGCCAAACAATTGTAAAACAATGCAGTCGGTTTATATCACCACTAGTTTTTTTGACTTCGACTTGATGTATCCTGGACTTAAGGGCTTAGACACACCAAGCCGGTGGTCAGCCATTGGATTTTGTTGGTCCGGATAGTGTGTTTGGTGTTTCCACACATCGGTTCTTGTCGGGTTAATATCGAAGCTTTTTTTGGGGCTAGTTCAGCATGTAGAATCAGCATCAGTCCGTCAGCTGAAGAGAGCACTCTGATTGGTTGTTCAGCAACGAATCAGAGCACAAGTGTGGCATAGTGAAGTGATGTAGCAAGTGAACAATTCAAGCCAAGAAGGAAGACAAAGGGGCTGTAAGTTTACATTTTACATTTACATTTAGTCATTTAGCAGACGCTTTTATCCAAAGCTCACTACATTTCTCAAATGTTTGTAAACAATATGGATTATAATCTATCAAACACATTTACACAAGCAAATCTCTCTGTGGTGAGTGACAAAATCCGTCGGCTTTCATTAGTTTGGTGTGCTCATGCGTATTTTTTTTGGGTCTAGAATGCGATCCAACGTGAGGCGACAACACAGGTGGGTTTCGTTGGTGTTAGTTTGGTGTCAGCTTGGTGTGTACCGGGTTTAAAAGGCTGTATGTACAATCTAAAAACCCTTGTTATTAGCTCCCCCACTGGCTGATAAGGGAACTGCAGCAGGTTACTTGTGCTGTATGCTGTCATAGGAAGTCAAGGAAGGTCTAGTACATATATACATTTTTAAATTAATTTTGTTTTTCACAGGAGCATTTGATGCACAGAATGTTGTAAATCTAGCATTCTGATTTTTGCTGTATGTGTTATTTAGGACTACGCTACTCCCCGGATAGAGCTGTTCACGGAGCCCGCAGGCCGGGGCCGCAGCTCTGAGTTTGTGGATCACGCAGAAGAAGTGAGCAGCTTCGGTCTTCCTCAGAGCACAGGATCTATTAAAGTCCACAGTGGTCTGTAAGTTAACAAACACACCCTGCTCAGACCTTGAACACTCACTGTTGGGTGTGTGTGTGTGTGTGTGTTTGTGTGTGTGTGTGTGTGTGTGAAGGTCAAAACAAAGCTCTTGATTAAAGAATTAGAGAAATGTGTGTTATGATTCATTCTTTTGATTAACTCGCAGATTGTGCTGCTTTAGTTAAAAACCCTTTAGTGAGATTTGTGTTCCTAAAATGTAAATGCTCAGTTTTCTGTACAGCTGTGGGTGTTTTGAGAGTGCCAGTGTTGTGAAGGTCGCTTTGAAAACAAACCCGAGATTCCTGATGATTCATGTGTGTGTTATGCATTATGAGTGTGTTTGAGTCAGAGGCTTCACTCACTCACTCACACACACCGCATAAACAGCATCAGAAGCATGTAATACAGGACAAAATTGTAACTCTGATGCGTTTAGCATTGCTTTAAACTGAGAGAAAAGGAGAAGACTGATTTAAGTTTTTATTGAATTGATGTTTTAGGAAATCAAAATTTAGGAGTCAAAAATAAGTGAGGTTTGAGTTCTGTGATTGGCTGCTTGATGACTGACAGTTTATTTTGGGCTCTGTGATTGGCCAGATGATGATTGACAGCTTGTTTTAGACTCTGTAATTGGCTGCTTGATGATTGCCTGCTGGTTTGAGCTCTGTGATTGGCTGGTTGATGATTGACAGCTAGTTTTGAGCTTTGTGATTGGCTGCTTGATGATTGACAGATGGTTTGAGTTCTGTAATTGGCTGCTTGATGATTGACTGTTGGTGTTGAGCTCTGTGACTGGCAGCTTGGTGATTGACAGTTAAATTTGAGCTCTGTGATTGGGTGTTTGATGACTGACGGCTGGTTTGAGCTCTGTGATTGGGTGTTTAATGACCGACGGCTGGTTTGAGCTCTGTGATTGGCTGCTTGATGATTGACAGCTGGTTTTGAGCTCTGCGATTGGTCTAATAAAGAATGACTGTGTTTTCTGGTCTACAGGTGGCTGGTTTACAGTGATCCGGGTTTCCAGGGTCTGCTGGCGGTTCTGGAGGCTGGAGAATATCCTTTTCCAGAGGACTGGGGTTTCCCAGCTCCAGCCGTGGGCTCTCTGAGGCCTCTGCGCATGGTAGACACTCACATAAAATTAAAATACATATTCACAAACACACAATTTACATAATATTCATATATGGTTTTCAAATATGTCCTTCTGCTTGCATAGATGAGATGAGTTAGTCTCTCCAGTCTAATAGTGTCTAGTGTGTGATTGTTGTAATTGTCTAGTGTGTAACAGCACAACACATACTCGTAATAGACAAATACACGTCATTAAAGATGTGTATACAAATAATCTTGAATTGAATTGTTAATCTGCTTTATTTCCAGGGCTGTCTGAAGGTGGAGAAGCCGAACGCAGTGAAGGTTTGTTGAATTTCCTTTAATTTCTCTCGTTTCTTCGCCAGATTTACACTAACTAGACTCTTTCCATATCATTTCTCTCAGGCTGTTTTGTACGAAAAGGCTGGTTTTAAGGGCCGATGTGTGGAGGTGCAGGGAGACCTGTTTTCCTGCACAGAAACAGACACAAATAATTCAGAAAATCACGGATTAAATGGTGTGGAGTCACTGAAGATCCTCGGAGGCCTGTGAGTGCTGAAAACTGCACTGCAAAAACACTACAAATATATTAAAAAACCATGTGGAATTATTTAAAGGAAATGAAAGATAATTATATTAAAATATGTCTTAGAAAACAATACTTATTATGTGTATTAGATCAAGAAGGAAAATTACGTTTGGTATTGAAAATGGTATTTAATCTTGTTTTTTGGGGCAGAAATGCGTCTAAGGATGCTCTCACACCTACACTTTTGTTTGGGAACCTGTCTCGTTTGCCCAGTTAGCGCGGTTCGTTTGACATATGTGAAACCTCCAATCGCTCTCGGATCCGCGCCAAATCAATCGCTATGAGATCGTTTGAATGAGGTGGTATCGTTTTGATTGAAACGAACTGTGGAGTGGATCGATTGCAGTGAGAAAGCGATCCGATCCGAGCGCGGTTATATCAGTGTTTTATGGATGTGTAATAGGCTTACGGCTATATGAGGAGAGAATTATGAGTATGGCGGGAAGTTTCGCGAGTCTCCCGGATTCCCGCAAACGAGTGATGATCTCCCGGTAATCTCGCGTCTCCCTCCCGGTCCTCAAATAGGCTTCGTCGGGCACCCTTCTCACCCCTCCCCACCGCATCTCTCCTCACTCTTCAGACACGTCGCGCGCACTTTGTCAAACACCACCAAACTACCCTGACACTCTGACCAATGTGAGGAGAGTTTACTCGCACGTGACTTGTTGTAGCTCTTCTGGTCTGTTTAGAAACTTTGCAGTGTGAAAGCGAACCGCTCCAAGAGCAAAGAGCAACAATGTAACAATTGTAATCTCTGTTTCGGGACAACTGAATCGATTCACAGGTGTGAAAGCAGCCTAAGATAAGTCTTAAAATATTCTAGTTTTCCCTTTTAATTCCATTTTGCATACAGTAAGATAATTCCATTTTTAGATTCTAGTTTAGAAATATTTTTAGAAAATTAGACTTTCTATTTACATTTAACTTTATTTGATTTGATTAGTCTTATTTTATGGGACGAAGATAAGCATAAATTTGAATTAAAAATAATAAATTAGTGTGTTAAAAGAAGAACTGAAATATAACAAACAGAAAGTACTCTAGGTTTTACTTTGACATTTTTTTCATGCATTTATTCAGAGACAGATCTTTTATTTTCTGTTCCTATTATTAAAGTTAGTGCATCTTGATTTGAAAACGTTTAGACCGATTGGAAAACAGGACAAATATACTGAATGAGTAAATCATTTTTCTGTGTGGTGTATTGGCTGAACACTATGGTCAGCATGTGTGTAAGCGCATGTGTATCTCTCTGCTGTTTTCAGGTGGGTGGGATACGAGCACGAGGGTTTCGATGGACAGCAGTTCATTCTGGAGGAAGGAGAATATTTAGACTGGAGCGACTGGTGCGGGACAAGCCAGAAACTGCTCTCGCTGCGGCCGCTGCTGATGGTGAGGCTTTAACCAGATTTCACTTATTTCATTTTCAAGTCAAGTTCATGAATGGGATATAATACAGAAACATTTTAATTTCTTTAAAATCTCAAAGAAAATCTATATAAAGTCCATTATTTACTGCAAAATCCTCAACAAGATTTTACTTTCATTGTTTGCTTCATTTTCTTGTTAGCTTCTTTAATGGTATATAGCAAGGTAACATTTTAACTAGGTTAAAATCTAAAAACAAATGTTTTAATCTGTAAAATAAAAAAATTATCTGCTACAGAAACCTCAATAGGATTTTAATTATTTAATTTTCAAGGCAAGTTGAAGGGTATATAGGAAATTAACATTTTAATTAGGTTAAAGTCTAAAAAAAAAAGAATTATCTATTAAAAACCCATTATTTACTACAAAAAACCCAACGAGAATCCCTTTATATTATTTGTTATTTCATTTTCAAGTCAAGTTCATTAACGGTATATAGCAAGGTAACATTTTAATTAGGTTAAAATCTAAAAAAAAAATGTCTATAATCTATAAAAACAATCCATTATTTAATACAGAATTTAAGAATGAGCATATTAATGAACGGTATATAACAAAGTAACATTTTAATTAAGTCCAAATTATTGCATCACATTATTTTCTTTTCAAACTAAAAGAAACACAGCAACAAATTTGTAGTTACTTTATTGTTTTAATAGTAATCAAGGAAGTAAGTGATAACCGGTTTATAACACAGTTTAATTAGGTTGAAATCTGAAAATATGTATAGTTTTCATTTATAATAAAATCCATAATTTTCATAAAATAAAAGGTTGCTTTTTTCTTAATAATAAGCAAGCAAGTAATGTACATTTATTTAGCCTGTTTATTGTGTATTGCCATAATGCATTTTCTGTACAGGCCAGTAGATCATATTAAATTCATGAATATTTTAATCTTAAATGTTATCATCACTTTTCATTTGATTTTCAACAAAATTATACAACAAAATAACAGAAAACAAAATTATGTAATAAATATGGCAAATAAATAAAAGAATATCACTAATTTAACCACATTGACTTAAGTAGTGACATAAAGCTGGTAAAGAAGTAATAAACCTTAACCCAACCCTGAGTTTTCCTATAGGAGTGATTAATCCTGCAGAAAAGCTCTGGATAATTGGTGCAGTTTTGCACATTTCTGATCTCCAGTAAACACAGTTCAGCCGAACATGTTACGCAACATCCATCATTGCATACCTGCAGTGTTTACGAGCTCTGGACGAACAATACCAGGAAATACCAGCAGCCGATCCGCGCCAAACGCCTCGCCAGCAGCTTTCTAATTCAACCTAAAATACATTGAATGGTTTGTTTTGCAGGATTCTTCTCCTCCTCATGTGAAGATGTTTAGTGAGC